AGCTATAGATGACCCCAGAAGAAATCTGGGTCATGCAGCATATCTTTTTTCTAACAAAAACACAAAAATGTCATAGTTAATTTTAAGTTAAGGACAGGCTTCAGGAAGTACTGCCTATTGGTTTATAAAGTCCGGCCAGTAGGAAGAAGAAGTCAAGGTTTTATTCAGGTTTGGCCCTTTAAACCAGCTGCTGAAAGAAAGAAAGAAAGAAAGAAAGAAAGAAAGAAAGAAAGAAAGAAAGAAAGAAAGATAGAAAGAAAGAAAGGTAAAGAACCAGGTTGAACAGTAGACTACAATAGATGAGTGCAATTGGCCATGAATAGATTGTTATGACCCGTCAAGCAAGATCTGGGCTATTTCTGAGGTGCTGTGACTTGCAAACGTGGAGACAGGAAAGATCACTTGTTCGAAGCTAATACAGAAACTAGCAAACTCTTCTGTCTCAACCCCCAAACACAGGCGGCCCCTTCTACCAGCAGAAAGGAGTGCATCCACCCATTCATCTGAGTACAACACCTAAACTAAACACCAAATCCTGAATGGAAAGAGCCAGAGGGCATCACAGCAGGAAAGGGCAGGGGATGAAAGGTTCATCCTTAACCCAGATGGCTGCTCACACTATCCCTTGCCTTGCCTCAGGCTGCACACCTAGGGGTTAAAAGACACACTCAAGCGTACAGCTGAGACAGCTTCAGCTAAACAGCTGCCTAGTTTTCCTGTGTAGCTTTTAAAGAATCTCAGAGATTTTATTTTTCACTTACATGGGGCTTTAAATACCTCTCAAAATGAAAATTTAAATGTGTTCAAAAAAGTAAATTTCAGCTGGGAACCTCAAAAATATCTCTTCACTATGGTTTGGCAGATCCCTTTGTCCCCTCCTGCCTCCAAAGTGTAGCTTTTCTCCAGCCCACACATATCACAATGGATGGCTATTAGAAACACAGCCGTCCCTTCCCATTTGTACCCCGCCGTCACAGTCAGGGGAACAGTCTCACTAGCCAGGGCATCTTCTTCTTTCTGTCCCTGCTCCCCACTGTGGGAGGAAAGACTGTTAAAGGGTAAGGACAGCCAGGTGTGAAGAAAGTTTGGTTCCTATAGCTCCAGCTGCCTCTCCCAAAGCCACCTTAAATAAACACTTCCCCCCCCAACCCCCAAGGAAAAACTGTGGTTTGCCCATGTAACCTCAGATGTCCTTAGCCCTTCTCCTTCTCGCCATGCCAGCGGGTTCTACGCTCTAAATCCATTCCTACAGAAGTTCTGAGCCCCTGTTCCTGGCAAGGCCAACTGTACCCACCCTTCCTCTGGTGCATGCTGGGAGTAAAAGGCATGCTGGTTATTCTAGGGCCCCAGGACTTGGAAAGAGGCTTGGTGCCTGAGAGGCGGGGGAGAAGTGGGTGCCTCCCCTGCCAACCGCCAGTAGGGAAAAGCCCAGTTTCTTTGGCCCTGCAGTGACAGGTACTGTTCAAATGGTTTTATGTGCTTGTCACACTAATGTCACACAGCACGGACAAACAGTGTAGGCTCTCCCCACAGGGGCATGCTCCTTCTCCAACACTGCAGGGAACTGCTGAGATTAAACATCGCCTTTCAATACAGAGCTTTACTTAAGGTAATAATGACAGAAATAACAGTCTGCGTCCTGTGTTCATAATTCCATGTTGGACAAGTTCCTGGTTCTGGTACATGGGAAAACCCTGCGGAGCAATGGGTGAAAGTACCAGATGATGCAATGGAGGAAAACATGACTTTCCCCTGGCTCCCAGAAAGGTCACCTCTAAGCCACGAGTCACTGTCGATCACCAGCTTTTGGGACAATGAAAGGGAAGCTGCCATGTTCTCCTGTCTCCTGTGTAAGCAAACAGGGCTTGAACTGGGCATTAAAATGCTTTACTAATGAGGCTCTTCTTGACAGATAAACACGAAGAGGCAGAGCCACAGCTGAGCCAATTTAGAGGCTTCAGGAAGACAGACAGGGAGGCCAGCCAAGTGAACAAGCCGGACCTACACAGGAAAGCACACACACAAAGAGCTTAACCAGCTGCAGGCAGAGTCATTTCTAACAAGTATATTAAAGCATTACCTGTATGATTAAATATTGTCCTCAAGTGCAAGGAGGAAGACCATCATGGCGGAGTCCAGTCATAGGAATGGGCCCCCCTATGATATAGTTACAGTGGCAGACTATGGGCCACGTAGTAGCATAAGGATTATACAGAATGAAACCATTATGTTAGGAAGGGGGTGGCACAGCCCGAGTTCATCTGTGTGTGAATGAGTGAATGAATCCCAAATAAAACAGATAAAAGCTAATTAGATCTCCAATATAATCTGGGCTCAAGTCAAAATTCCAAAGGAGAACCACCCCCACTGCCATGACACGGTTTTAGCACTGGAGACTGCCAAGTTGTAGCAGGTTGGTTAAGAACTTGACTGTCGTAGCTGAATCCTCATCATTAGCTGAGCTCTCTGTAAAGCCAGGGGGAATAGAAATGGCCCACAAATGCCCTGGCGAGTCTTACTGTTCAACTAATGAGAAAAAGACGTGGTAAATTTTAAATTAGTTTAGTGTAGAATAGTTTTGTCCTGTTTTCCCAAATATACTTTGAAATTTTTATGAATTTTGAGAAATATTATGGACTTGTTTGGTTTTAATATAGCCTTAAAGTAAAATTGCTTTGGGGAGAAAAACTAAATACAGCTAGTAGCAGCTAGAAAGGCGAGAGACTGTATTCCAGGAAAGAACAGGCAGAATGCTACCAGGAAATGGGTATGCAAGGATAGTCAGAAAACCTAAGGTCTGCTCCGTGAATGGCTCAACTCCCCACGTGTCTGAACACATTGGCCCTAGCAGTCAACATCCAAGATATTGCTGCCATGTGCTGCCATGTGATGTTCAGGGTAACACCATGCAACTAGGCTTTCCACAGTGACAGACATTTCCTGCTCTGAGCTGTCAATCATGTAGCCAGCATTCACCATGAATAGCTATGAACACTTCAAAGCAATTTTTAAGTGACCCACCAGAAAGATAAAGTTTCTTTTATAGACTTTTAATTAAACTACAATTAAATATCCATATCTGACTGTCAACTGCTGGGCTGGGTCTAGATTAATTTCATAAGCTTTGTTTGAAACCTCACCAAACTGTTCATTTATATTTAATAGATTTTCTATATAGGAATTGAATAAGATTTCTCCCAAATGCAGCATTTACAGCCTACTCTACATCTCTTGCATTTCACTTTTTTGTTTTGTTTAGTTTTTCGAGACAAGGTTTCTCTGTAGCTTTGGAGCCTGTTCTGGAACTCTGTAGAATAGGCTGGCCTCAATCTCATAGAGATCTGCCTGTCTCTGCCTCCCAAGTGCTGAGACTAAAGGTGTGAGTCACCACAGGCATTTCACTTTCATAACTGTCTGGCTCATTGCATGTTTACAGCCTCTCTGCTAGGTCAGACACTCCTCCAGGATGGTGCTGGGCTGCTTTGGCCTCCACTCAGTCCCTGCACAGGGTGGTACCTGAAACTTGTGCTCTATGTATCCTTGGCACAGGTTAGACATCAGAAAAATGATTCAGAAACGACAGCACCAAGATTGATGCTCTCAGATACTTAGACTCCTTTTAAGAGTGACTGTTACATAACACCAGTGAGCAGTGTCGTGGGCAGGTAGTCTCTTGTATTTTAGTCTCTTGTACTTTAGTCTCTTCATACCACTATTCAATGCAAAAGTAAGCAGTGACCCTTGGGACAGGATTTGTGTGTTCAATACTTTCAAGAAAACTTTGGCTTCAATATTTTCTTAAAATGAGTCAATTCTACATCATTACAAACTCCTTTTAGGCTTCCTTTAAAAGCTCTTCTTAAAAAATAAAAACTTATCTCACTTATACCAGTGTTCATAAACAACACACAGGACAGACTGAGTCAGGGTAGAAGGAGATATACCACTTTCTACCTACTTTTCTAACAAATCAAAGGATATGTTTTAAGAAATGTGTATTTAGAAAGATGTCTATCTATATGTACACACAGATATCTCCCTATATACATACCACAGAGCCCTAATTCTCAAGTCTTTTGCTGCACATTTGGTCTACCTACTTTGTGGGGGTCAAGAAAACTGGATGAGAATTCTAGTTCTTTCTAGATCGGTCCTTTGAGGTTAAGTCACTTACAGCCTCTGAACTTCAGTTTCTGTAGCTAAAGAAAACAACAAACTTCACGAGGCTTGTGGGAAAGTACACAAGCCAAAGAAGCAACAGGAAGAGTGCCCGGTGCTAAGCAGGTGCCCGGTGCTTATCGAATGGACAGCTTATTTCATCAGTTTCTTGGGAGCACTTCTGGAGGATTACACATTCTCTTACACAAGAGTTCATTATATTCAAGCGAACAGAGCCTGAAGGTCCAGAGGCAGATTTCAGGCCAGCCAATGAGGGGGGATCAAACAAACAAAAGAATGAGATAAACTGCAACCTGGAGAGAAAGGAAAACTTGCTCCAAGAGGAAAGACCTACCTGATGCCTGAGGCAGCCCCACTGAAAGGCCTCTCTCCTCACTCTTGGGAAATGTTTCAACCTCGGGCTACCTCTGCAGAAGGCTACCTTATGAAACAAACAAACTCCTATACACCCGGGATCATTTATTTATATATTGCATAACTCCCTCACTTATGGTCTATCTATCTTCAAAGTTTTCAGGCTTAAGAGACCATTCACTGAGCATCCTTCAAGCCTCACCCTTGGTAAGTTTGATTTCTAGCATTGTTGCCTGTTTTAAGAGCTCCTACAATGCGTGACGTGGCATACATAAACAGAACCGAGATAAACGGCCGTGCTCACAGCTTGTATAAAAGATTCCAGCTCTGTGTGGCAATAAAACACTCCTTTAAAAAGTTAGCCTCTGTATTTTGTCACTAACTCCCTAGTATGCAATACTTAAGAGTCCAGATGCTAAGACATAATTCAGCAGGGCAGAAGGGAAGGCGACAGCATGCATCCATACCTCTGTTTCTTGCAGGGTCCCGTGTTTTATGCACACCATGTCAGGACAAGTGATGGGAGACCCACATCCTTCTCGGATTGACAGCATCATATACTGTCGCAGGCACTATAAGAAGGGGGAAAGAAGCAGATATTTTAAACATCACATCCACTACAGTAGCGCAAAGGTTACATAAGAGAGCATCCACAGCGTCTTCCTAAATTGGCTGTCCTGGGGTTCCTGTACTCAGGAAACATAAGTTATCACAAGTGTGGGTACTAAAGAGCCATCACTTTGGAAAGAATGCAGAGCCAGAAGATTAATCACAGATGACTTCATTTTAAGCGTTTTTTCAAGTCAGACTCCCACGTGCTCACTCAGTTTGTCTGCCTTAGACTGGGAAAAGAAGAAGCACTTTCGAATCCACAGCAAAAGCCTCCATGCTTAGTTTCTTTTCAAACCCGATTTGATTTCCCAATTCTAGTTTGTTTGTTTGTTTGTTTGTTTTAATTTTGTATGTATTATTTTATTTTATGTGTATGAATGTTTTTCATGTGTGTGTGTGTGTGTGTGTGTGTGTGTGTGTGTGTGTGTGTGTATGTGACACAGAGGTCAGAAGGGGGCATCAGATCCTCCAGAGCTGGAAATATGGATGGTTAATGAACCACCACGAGGGTGCTCAGAACTGACCCCAATCCTCTGCAATCCTCTTAACCATCCCCCCATTTCCCTAGCACCCCCAATTCTGTTTTTAATCTAGTGAACCTCTCTTGTAAGTTTACCTGAAAGTAGAATGACCCTCACTCTGGGATCCCGGACCTAAGATACCCAAACAGAATCAAAATACTGATAAGGACTGAGTTATACAGGAAAAAGTCAGGTGGCTTCCTGCTGGCTTCGGATAGCAAAGACAACTTGAAAGAACAGGCCATCCCAAAAACAGAAGCCTTACTGGATGCCACCATGTTGACAAGGGTTTTGATGTGTTTTGTTATTGTGTTTTGCTTTCTTTTGTTTGTTTTGTTTTTGGACATAGGGTTTCACTATGTAGCCCAGGAAGAACTAGAACTTTCCGTCCACCTGCCTCAGCCTTCCAAACTGCATGTCCCACCAGGTCCTCTTGAAGAGCTTGGGACAGGAAAATTAAAGAATGAGTTCCAGGACAGCCAGAACTGTTACACAGAGAAACTCTGTCTTACAAAAGACAAAAAAACAAAGAATCAGTGCTGTGCATCATTACATAAACCATTAAATCAGAGTCTGTGGTCAGAATCTAGCACAGAATCGTGAAATCTATGACTTTTCCTGACCTCTTAAAATTAGTTTTCTTCATGTGAAGACGGAACCCAAGCAGCACTGTTATATTTCATTTAAAATCGTGTATTTTTCTAACTGAAATGACAAACCATACACTGTCACACAAAGGCTGCCATCCCAGGGGACCTTGCAAAGGGCTGCCTACCACTCTGCTTCTAGAGATTCCCCTGTCTCCCTTCAGCCACACGGTTCCAATACTACTGCCTTTACCCTCTCCTGCCAGCAGCCACTCACAGAAACTGAGGAAAACAGGCTCTAAAAATATGTGCTGCCCAGGCTCAAGGGCAAAGTATATGAGAAAAACAAAGTGATACTGTGTGACAAACTTCAGAGCATAGCAGCTGAGGTGTACACCTGCTGACAGTGGCAAATGACTCTACCTAGGACCCAGATGCATGTCCTCATCATTTGTAAACTAGGGAAGATAATGTCTGTTTAGTTACAGGGTTTCATGTGTGCACACACAGAGAGAGACAGACACACACACACACCCCTAAAACGAGGCCTTTGTAAGTTTCTGAATTGCTTCATCTTAGACCAGTCCACCCTTTGGAGTTCTGACATCTCCTTTCCAGACTCTCTCCAAGGAACCGGTTAAACCACCTGGAGCAGAGACGCTGCCCAGACAGAAAAGGTGTGTGAGCCAGAACATTCCACCAGCCTGTAGACAAGCTTCTCCTCAGGACTCTTTGGGGTACAGAGAAAGCTTAATGTTGCATAGTAACTAGAGAGCTATCACTCAAGTTTAATAGGCAAAAATGATTACTTAAACTTACATTGCAAATTTGTACAGTTGAACCATCAAGGTTCCCCACTGGCTTATAGTAGATGTTCCATTTGCTAATGCCAGGTCCATAGGTGTTTTGCAAACCATAATATGTCAACTAATGAATTTAGAAGATTTCCACACAAGCATTCCCATGTCTCCAAAAAATACAGTGTGCTGCAATTTTTGGAGCAAGGTTGGAGCTGTATGCACAGTTGGACCACAGGTGTTGAGTGCATTCTTTTTATTCTGAGACACTTTTTTGTTTGAGATGCTGAAGCATTAGTGTAGGTGGTTAAGCAGCTGGGAGCTCAGGCACATGACAGGCCATCAGTGTGGCCATGCACTTTACCCAAAGTAGAGGAAGAACAGTTAGTCCCAGCCACTGCTCCGTATCACATTTTTCAAGTGCCTGTGTTCATGGTTTCCATTAGCTTTCACTGAAAAATACCATCTCAAACCTTCTCCTCATCCCTTCAGCTGGCTAAAGAAGCACAAAAGAATCAAAAATATTTTACAAGAACTAAACAAGTCAAACTCTGGTAAAAAACTAACAATTCTGGAGAAAAAAAAAACCTGGCACCTAGCTTACACAGAAAGAGAAACACACAAAACTACCACCATTTGCTACGTTTAACAATTGCATGTCATTAAACTTGAGCAGTGTACAGATCTTGCAGTTTTCTATATGACTGACAAAGTCTAAGGTGATGTTTCAAAAACATTTCAAAAGCCCAGATGACTAATAAAAGGGAGAATTGGTCTTTTTGTGTCGTTACCTTTCATTTAAATGGCTTGAAGGAGCATAGATAAATACTTGAAGACCTTAAAGGTCATAAATAAAACCAAGACTCCTCACCTCACTCACTCTACAGCCCACAAGGATTTCAATTCGATGTAGTCAAGCATTCAACCACCAAACACATGGCAAGCCAGGTGATTCGTATTGTTCCTTCCAACTCAGTCTATGAGTTATGTCAATGGAATTTTTCAAGGAAGGGTTTTTTTCAAGGTTGTTGTTCACCCTATGTCAAAGGACATGGCGTTCTTCATAAGATGTTCTCAACAGTCTTAGAGACATGGCGAAAAAGCTTGTAATGTACCCATCTAAGAACAAGCTACGGGCATAGACAGATAGGCAGAAAATAGCTGGATAGATGACAGATAATTGATAGATGATAGATGGATAATTGATAGGTGATCGATTGTTGATAGATGATTAATGGATTATAGATGATAGGCAGATGATAGATAGACAGATAGATAATACATGAATGATAGGTAGACAGTCAATATATAATTGACTGATAGACTGATTGATGGATGATAGGTAGATAGGGGATATATAGATGATTGATAGACCAATTAATGGATGATAAATTTCTGGTTTTGTGTGTCCTTTACTATACTGCTTGTTTCACTCAGAGCTTCCATCTGTACCTTGTCAGAAAGGCCTTCTCAGCTAAGACCAATTCCCTACCTCTATGGGTCTCTTTCCATGGTGTATTTCCTTATCTACTTGTATTTCCTCATCTATCTTGTGTTCTGAAGGATCCTAGAAAAATGCAATGCCCCAATACACATCACTGAATGACTCACACATCAGATGAACTCTGAATTCTCTTCTCATGAAAGTATCACCCTGTTTTTGTTTGTTGGTTTGGTTTGTCTGTTTTGTTTTTTTGAGACAGGGTTTCTCTGTGTAGCAGCTCTGGCTGTCCTGGAACTTGTTTTGTAGACCAGGCTGGTCTCAAACTCATGGAGATCCACCTGCTGCCAAGTGCTGTTATTAAAAGTATGCCCCACCATGCCCAACTGGCCCTTCTTTAGATTACTATAGCTTTGTTGTTGAGTTCTGTAGTCAGGAGGTGAGGTCTCTGACTTTGTGGCTCTTTTTCAAGGTTACTTGGACTGCTTTAGTTTTTTTTTTTTTTCAATTTGTAACACGTGGCCACTTGACCAGTATTGAATGCTCCAATAAAGTGTCTTTCCACTTATTTAGTCTCTCTTACTAATAATGTATATTTTTCAGAGTATCCATTTTACGTATTTTCATTAAATCTATTCCTCAGTATTTTATTCCTTTTTAAGTTATTATAAATGTAACTGTTTTTCCACAACTGCACTGTATTATTCCTTGATAGAACAGAGAAATACTGTTGATTTTTGTACACTGTTCTTGTCTTCCATCACCTCACTAAACTGATACCTGAGATTTTAAATCTGGAGTGATTGCTATGTGCAGCCATGTCTGAGAACGCACTCCACCCCACCCACCCCCACCCCAGTGTTACTTTGGGAGATACAGTTATGTCTTTCATTACTTCTGTATCACTAAGTGGTGTTGACTAAAATGAATCTCAGAGAGATGAGTCTCTCCATCAAGATCCACAATGAAAATAGGCTGTAACTAGTTCCAGGCGAAGGACTAAAGGAAACTTAATGGGGAAATTACATTAACAACATTTAAATGCCTTTCCTTTAGGGAATCTTTAAATGCTTTAAAATGGTTCTGCTGCTCTTTCTGGAAAGGGTACAAAGCTCCAGTCTGTAAGTCTGAGAAGAGTCATTCAATATGGGGGATTAAGTCTGGGCTCCAGTCAAAAGTGCCTCCAGTCCCACCAACAGAGAGCAATCAAACACTTCTATCTTTATCTCAAGTGATCAAATACCCAAATTAAGACATTTGGTGACAGGAATAACTGTGAGGAGAAATTCCATGAAAAAGCTGCGGTCTGGTCCAGTCATCACGACAAAGCAGTAAGATATGGGAACTGAAAGAACATTCCCCCCAGAGCAGTGAACAAGGTCTTGTGGCAGAGACATCTGCTTCCAACAGAAGGAACTCAAGAACTCTCCTAGAGACCTTGGGGGCTTTTTCTTTTGCCCTATCTGGGCCTCCTTTGTTACCAAATCGTACTCTGTTCCCAAAGAGACCCATCTGGCCCAGCTGCTACCTATAACACAACACACCCAAGAAAGTCACCCACAACTCAAGGAGAAAGAAAGCAAAAGGCTTGCCAAGTTTACATCCTTCCATTTC